GCAGGAATGAGGACACATTTGTTGCTCAGTGTGGTACAAGTCTTTAAAGGCACAGCCCATGGAGGAGACAAAGACTGGGCATGGCCATGGCTCATCCCCAGACAGACACAGGCACTGGGTCCCTGCATGGACCCTGGGACAGGTTGCCTTCCAAACAGGGACCCCCGGCAACCAGCAAGGAAAAGCCCAATCCATGAATTCCTCAAGGATTAGGCACTAGCTGCTCAGTGAGCATCAACTGCTCAGCAGTGTCAGGGCTGGAGAAGGTGTGTGTGGACTTCCAGGTGTTCCTACTGGTGAAAAAGAAGGTGTCCCCATGGTTGGAGGCTGGTGGGATGAGTTTTGGAGTCAAGGTGCCTGGGAAGGTGATTTGGCACCTCTGTCCTTTGAGAAGGGATTTTTCTCATTACCTCTGGTGGGCCCTCAGGAACGAGGCGGAGCAGCTCATTGCATGTCACAGGCTCTTTGTTTAGGTTCACTCCACTGGATAAAAGAGGGGACTCTTCACGCAAAGCCTCCTCCTCTGTCCTGGGGTCGGGCTGAACCACCGCCTCCATAACCACACAGAGCTGGTCCAGGCTGTGCCGCAAGCCTGACTGGAAGACAAAGAGATTTGGGGGGCGTCTCCAGAGGCAGGCAGCAGCTGTGTCCTGAGGACAACCTTTAAAGGGCATGAATTCCTCCTGAACTTTTTTCCCTCCTGGGAGTTATCATCCCAAGAGTGAAAAACAGCACGGGCCAAGAGCTGTGCCAGCCCTTGGAGGTGGGTGTCTTCACCCCACAGCCCTGCTGCCATCAGCGGCCTCTTGCGCTGGCGGCTGCTCCCAGTCACAGCCTCGCACAGACAGTTTTTGCCTTTAAAAACTATATAAGAGATATCAGCCAATATGTGAATCGGTGTGTTACTGTCCACCCCCTGATCTGCATCTGTTGGGTCACCCAGTGAGATGAGCAGCCTTGAGGTTCTCGGAGGGTTTGTACCACTTCATCTCTCATCCTGCGGCCGTGGTCAGCCAGGGCGATTCAGTGCAGGAGAGCACTATATATTATACACCCACACAGGCAAAAAGATCTTCTGAAGGCCAAGAGGACAAAATTTTTATACAGTTAACCCAGTTCGGCGTTTACTTATTCCTCAGGCTATCCCTATTATTTCAGGAGGACAGCTCAAGGTCTCAGCTGTTTCAGCTTGTGATACACATTTTCAAATTTGTCCTTGACTCTTGATGACTTTCCTTTATTAAAGCTGTATGGTTAATTATCCAGACACACACGTACCACAGGGCCGAAACAAATTCCTACTGGACTGGTCAGTTTACCCACCTCCCAGTCTGTCCAGCTCCTAGTTCGCAGCAGGGGATGCCCAGGAGGACACTCAAACGCTTGGTTCTCCTTGCCCACCTCCATCCCACCGAAGCCGGGGCATAGGGGTGGACCTGCACATGTCACCGCGGGAGCTCGGGCTGCTCCCACCGTCACTTACCTGCCGTGTCCTCTGCAGGTCCGTGATGTGGGCTGACAAGGACTGGTGGCAGCGCTCCGGGCTGAAGCGCACAAACCACAGCTGGCACAGGCAGGGTTAAGGAAGGGGTCTTTCCACGCTTCGCCCTCCATCTCTATGCGGATCGTGGTACGGACCTTGCAGGAAGCGGTGCAAAGGCAGGTGGTGCCCACGGGATGCTCAGGACATGGGAACCAAACAACACATCGCAGGGCTAATTTTAAGCCAAGAGGGTCTGGGCTAAGGCAAAACCTCAAAGTAAAGGGGAAGAGAAGAGGGGTGACAGGGAAGGTGGACATTGCCCCAGCGGGCAGCCAGTCCTGCTTGCACACCTCCTGCACCCCGGGGGGGTGAAAACTGGGATAACCCAGGGCTGTTGCCAATCACTCATCTCAGTGGCCTCACATCAAAATAAACTGGCGGGTCACCTTGGCTTAAGTCCCCTAAACTCCTTCCTGCTTTCTTTCCTTTTTTCTAGGGTTTCATTCCATATATTTTTTTACAAAATTTACTGTACTTGGTGCTTGTCTTCAGGACGAAGGCACCGTTTGCAAAGAGTCTACCAAGAGCAACGTCTTGGGGATGTGATTCCTGCCAGCTTTGAGGGCAGCAGCCCCACAGAAGGCAGCCAAAGCTACCATCATCAAGGTGATTCAGAAACAGCATAAAAACTAGAGGGTTAAAACAGATATGACATTGGAGCAGACCAAGAAATAGTAAATCCTTGGGTTGTTTTCTGCTCTCAGGCAGTTCTGGGACACATAGGTAGAGGTGAAGGTTCCTTGGATTAGTCCTCACTTACTGAGGTGCAAAACTATGCTGGTCCAAACAAACACATCATTCAAGTTCTTAAGTGCTTCCTCCTCATTCTGCATGACTTCACCCCTCCCAGCCCTCCTGCGTGGTTCCCTGCCCCCTTCTCTGACCCTGTGCTTCAGCCTTGGCTCCCTCTCCACTTCTATTTCATACCTCTCTGTACATATGGGGTACAATGAGGTCCACCAGCAAATCTGAGAGATCATCTCTCTCACCTTCCTTTTACACTTCCACGCTGTCTTAAAACTCTCTTCTTTCCCCTAAATCTTCATCCAGTCCAGAAAAGGTATCTCTGAAGAGCCGCAAATGAGCCTCCCCCTACCTGGTTTCTTCAACCCGCATTTTTAAAAGGCCATGAAGGTCAGAAGTGCTTGGCGGGTACGGACCGGGCTGCCAGGCACATGCCCTGGGAAATCAAGTTCTCTCACGTGCCCGAAGGAGGGAGCCCAGGGCTATGAAACACCCGGAGAGCAGAGGCACTTGGATGCTGTTGGCTTAGTTTGTCTCTGCAAGGCAGAACAGGAGCTCCCAGGGATGGGGACTCCAGTTTTCTCTGTGTTGGGTTGGGTTTTTTTTTGCCATAGGCACATTATGAGCAGAGTGACAGCAATGAGAATCATCACTGTCACGTAAGTATAACACACTTTCAGGAACGATTGCCTGCCCAAAGGACTAATCCCATTTCAATATTTTAGACTCATCATTTCACATTTCCTTTGGGTATATCTCAATCCCCACTTTTAGGAGAAGAAAAAATACCCAATCCCTCATGGCATCCAACAGGAGAAAAGAAAAATCCTAGAAACCTCAGAAATCCCACCCACTGGAAATCCTCATGGATCATAACATCCATAAATACTCCCAAGTCATTAGCTTCCCAGGAGGGGTATAAATGATTTCCTACAGAAAGGATACTTGTAGGATGTTGTGCGGCCCATCCAAGGCATCTGTAATCCCCAGTATTAAACCGTGTTTGATAAAGATTTCATTGACAGCCGCCAGCCTCACATCTGTGTTCATATTTATCTGTTAAAGAATGCAGGAAAAATTAACACGCTTTACAGCAAGAGTTGGGCGAGCCTACAGCTACAATCTGCAGCTGGATAATCCCAAATACCGCGTCTCTGAAAGGAAAGCGGTGACAAGAGCAGTCTGCAGTCAGGCAGGATTGTCACCAGCCATCAGTATCGGCCAAGCCACCGCTTGTGGGTGTCTGCACAGTCAGAAATCTCACTGAGGATTATTTCTCTTATAGACAAGATGTCTGAAGTGGAATCGACTTCCAGGATCATGTTCTCTCCTCCTTCCCCAGCAGTCCTGCGTGAAGGACTCCTTCCCTGACCCTCTGCACACCCGCACATTTGCCGGGTTTCCCTTTGGGAGAGTCACTGCACAGCTGTCGTTAGAGGCTTGCTCCAAAATCCATTCAAATCAGTGCAAGGACCCCTCTCGATCTTGAATCGAGCCTTTCCAATACTATTCTTCAGATTGTTCCTTAGGAATTTCCATACTCCTTCAATTCCTACAAACAAAAGTTTGGCCAAAACAAAATTCCGACAACAACGAACCAGTGGATGCTGCAGGCTGGTTGCCTCTCACGCTAACATCACCTCCGTGTTTCCTTCTACTGCCCAGTCTATGTCAGTTGTATAATTTTATTGGAACTTCTATGGGTTAGGAGTTGCCTTTTTCATTCTGGACCTGTTGCAAGGTTCAGGGCACCACAGCACCACAAGTAAACGATGCTATAAACGGCTGTGCACAGCTGAGGCTGCAAGGACCGTGGTCAGAAGCGGGGCAGGAGCCGGCTCTGCTGGCCCCCGCCGTGGCTTCCCACCAGCCGTGGGAGCGCAAACTGCTCTCTGCAACGGGTTGCTTTCTCTCCAGCGACAGCAGGCGCTTTGAGCCAGCCTGCCGGGCTCAGCACCTACTTTTTAGGCATTACGACACTTCACTTGGCTGTAAAACACCTCTTGCCTGAACCCAATCTCCAAGTCTGCTGTAAAAATATCCCTTCTTCCCTGGATAACTGTGTTCTTCACATGCATCTAGGAGATGAGCTGGGTCCCAGCGCTTTGGTGTGAGGGAGTCCTGCTCCCCACGTGTTGCGCGCCCCCACACAATCAGCCTCCTCTTACCTTCCTCTGGCGACGATCGATAACCAGTATCACGACGACAGTGACTGCTACGGCAGCCAGGGTCACCAGCACACTGGCCCCCCAGTAGCGTCCAAAGGAACACAGCTGGACTGTGGAGTAAATGTTTGTCCAGAGAGACACGTAGAAAACCTATAAAAAGCCAGAGAGCCTGATGATACTCACAAAACTGTGAAAGTGAGAAAAGTCAAGGGAATAAGAAAGCTACCTGTCCCTTCTCCCGGGGGTAATACCTTACCATAAATTAGGTCACATGAGATCTTGAGAGGGTGAGAAAGGACAGAAGTTCTTTCCAATAATAAAAAGGGGAAAGAAAGGACTAGAAGGATGGAGTAAGCCCTAGTTTATTATAAAAAATTACTGGTCATGAAAGACAGGGAGTGAATTACTAATGATGATTCATACCTAGGAAGGATTTGAACCGAGTTCTTCCATTTAGATAAGAAATGCGCTCACTGAGGCATATTGATAATGCTTCTAATAGTCCCTGTATTTAGAAAGCTCCTATGTCAAAGCACTCAAGGTGCTGCAGAGACTACTCAATTACAATAACGCTCAAAGGTTGGACACTGACACTGGGCTCAAGGACTATTTTAAGGACTGACAGACTTGGCCTTTGCATAAAGACAGGCAAAACTGAGTTCACTTGGACTTTACTTCAGATAGTGTGCAGTTGGGCAGGAGGTTGCCTAAAAGCAAATATAATGTACATGTACAGCACAACATCTCACAGCATCATCTTGCAATAATATAACTCATTTGCACTAAACAGGTACCAAAACCCTCAAAGCACTGAGCACCAGTTCCTACAATATTAGTGGAAGAAGGAACAGAGATGTATAAATGGCTATCCAAAAAAATAAATGCAACTAAAATGAAGGAGTCAGGTTTTATCACAGCCTCAGCACGCTGCAAAGTATCAGCCTTACAGTAGATGGTATTGGTGGGGGTCTCTGGAGGAGCTTCTCTCACCAGAAGCAGCCAAACAAGACTAGACAGGCAACTCAGTAACCCAAATTGACTGGTTCATTGGTCTTAATTAACATCAGGACCAGAATATCTACAGGTTTTTTAAATCAAGTTCAAAAATATGCCTTCCAGCAAGGGGCTGGTGAAGGTGCCTTGCCCTCCAGTCTGTGAACTGGGATTTCCAAAGGAGCCTTAAGCCCACTAGGATATGTGAAAACCAGTGTCTCTTCCCCACCCAAACCTCTGTCCCTCTCTGGGCACAGAAACCCCAGTTGTGGGTCTTGATGCATCTCAGCAAGTGCCTGTCTACACCAAGCCTGGGAGAGACCCCGCCATCCTTACCACGGCGATGGCTATCTGGAACGCCCTGGAGTTGTAGAACATGTACCGTCTCACTTCAGGCTTCAAGACAGCATCCTGGATTAACCTTCTCCACTGATCTGCTGCCACCTGCTCGGGGAGCAAACAGCAAACTGGGACCACCCTCCATTTTCGGGCTCCTAGTCCCATCAGAACCAGCTTGGGCAGTCATCATGGGGCCAGAGCTGTGTCCCAGAGCACCCTCCTGCAGAGCGCACCTCCAATCTCATCCATACAGCTGTCACAGACCAAAACCACATGTTCTTGCCTCATTTGCAGTGAGTAATATCTCCCTGGAAAGTGCAGGGAAAGCCACAAGAGAAAATCATCTTTTTATGACAAAGGATAAGACAAGACAGATTGTCCCAGGGATGCTCCATCCCATCAAAGTGACTTTCAAGCCACTCACTAGAACTTATGCTGAATGGGTTTCTTCATGGAGGTTTAAGCCAAGATCATTACAGTCAACTTGCAGTCCATGGGGAATAGACTGAAGCTGAGCTGAAACGAGCCACTCAAACCAAAAAAAAAAAAAACAAACCCAAAACTGTCTGTGATGTGGATGCAAATGCAAATGATGCTAATCCAGCAAGCCTTCACTCCTACAGAGTCACCAGGGGAGATAACACAGGAGAAGCTTACCTCAACCCCAAGAGACTTCAGTTTCTCTGCACAAAGCTCCATGTCAAAGGAGGTGGCCGAGCAGTTGTTGTCCATGCTGAGCACCATGAGCACCTGGCCATTGAGGGGTTCTGCAAGAGCCCAAAGGAGTTATGAGCACAACTCTGGCTTGGGTTTTTCCCCAAGCAGCTAAGGAGCACATGGCAAAGGGAAGGCTGAGGAACACAGACCACCCTGATGTGTTTAAAATGGATCCAGAGTTGCCCCTTGGACAATTCTAAGAACATCACAAGGAGCTTTGGAAGCAGCCTGACGTCCCCTGTAAGGAAACAGCCTACAGAAAAACCAAGGAAACCCCAAACACATTCTAGGACTGAGCAGTCAGAGATAACATGATGCTCTGATCTTCAGCAGGATAATGTCTTGCCTCACTGACCCCTAACTGAAAGGACAATGGTCTCAAGCTGCTCGGTGTTGCTAAGGCTGTCTACCTCTTAGAGAGATCCCCCATTGCCTACCCACCCCACCCACCACAAGAAAAAGCTTGAGCAATCAAATTAAAGTGTTTTCCAACAATCATATTGTCTGGGATGTCACACGGCTGCACTGGACCATGAGCCCTGTAGGTCCTCCAGCACAGAGGTCCCCACTCTAGCAGTGCTCCTGGGCAGCATGGCTTTGCTCAAGGCTCTCAGCTTTCCATGTTTCAGCTTGGGCTAAGATGAGAGATGTAATCCAGAGACCCAAGTGGCAGTCAGGAGCCTAGGAAGTGTGAAGACATCCTGTCCTAGATTTGAGGAGCAGGCAGCTCGGAGCTGAAGCAGAGCAGCCTTGGAGTGGCACAGGAGAGCCGTGATCTCCAGGCATCCCATCTGGCACTCAGCTAGAGTTTACATAAGCTGTGCTGTGTCAAGAGGAAGAGATCAGGTCTAAGGAAGTGCCTTGTTCAGATGAGATCCTGTTTCACAGAGATGTTTCACCCAGCTTTCCTTCCCCTTTGCAGACCTGGGGTCAGCCAGGCATCCCCTGGGGCTGCTTCCACCGAGATGCCACTTAGTGCTCTCCCAAACTGCTGTGCTGGCTGAAACACAGCGTGCACTCACCCTTCCCTTCTCTCCCACTTATGTCCTCCATCCTCATCATCTCTTCCCTGCTCAGGAACAGGAGATGCCAAGTGAAACGAGGCAATTACGTTACAACAGGGCGTGACTGCATCGAGTCAAGAAGGGAAGAGGAGATGCATCTGAAATCTCCAGGATAACAACGTCCTGTTTGTTTGCTGAGGTTTATCTCCTCCTGACACAGAGCAGTGGAGGCGGTGAGTATAAAGCAAGAACAAAGACAAATGACCTCAGCCTTGGGCTCGGCTCTCCTGTTCTCCATGGCTTTGGTCAAGTTGCTCAGCACAAAGTTGGGTGCCGGGCTGAGATTCCCGAGATTTGCAGAGGGGCTCAGCTCCTTGACCTCTGCTGGAGCGACAAGAGCTGCTTCGCCCCTGCAAAATCTGAGCTCTAAGGAGGTGCCATGAACTCAGCAAGGTAAAAGGGTGCCCTGCTGAATGGCGCGGGGAGGTCTCGGTGAGAACAGCCATCCATGGCACTGCCTTCTGTCTCTGCACAGCACCTCAGGTGCTTTTGGAAGTAGAGCTGCAGAGAGGGAGCAAATTGTTCCCGGGGAAGGGAGTCACTTGGAAAGCACATGTCAAGTTTCCCAAAGATTTCTTGACTTCTGAAGGCCAAGAGAAGAGGACTTCCAGGGTCCTGGCTTTCAATAGGTGGATGTCCATTCATTCCTACACATCAGGCTTTCCAAGAAAGTCAAAGTGTCTCTGTCCCCTCCCCAAAATGCTGAAACATCCATAATGTTTAGTTACTTTTGCATATGAGATGCTGTTAGTGGGCATCTTTGAAAACCCGGCTTCTGTTATTTTAAGGGCATTGTACTCAAAACCGCCTTTCTCCTTATCATCAAGTCTCTCACTTACCTTTCACCCACTGCAGGGCTCCTTCCTTTAGATCGCTCTTACAGTAGAGGATGGAGGAAAGTGACCCGTTTTTCTCAATTCCACCAGTTTGGGTTTTATGGGCCATGCTGAAGGTGCTTCTCCTTGAGGGACTCTCTGTCGCGCTTTCAGAAATTCAGCACTTTGTATATCTGCCTTATCTCTCCCTGCTAAGAGACACGATTCAGCCCCAAGGCGTGCGCTCCTCCTTGGCGAGCAGATTGTGAAATCCTCACTCACACTCCCACTGACAACTTCCTCGAGATCCTGCTCTCCGCCAGCAAGGAGACATTTTCTAGCCCTGAAAAGAGGAAAAGAAAAGCCCAGATCTTGCAGAGATGGCAAATAAATGGTAACAGCCCAGACGACTCGGGCGTACTCTGCTCTTCAGACCCCGCACCCCATGGATGTTATCACCAGGAAAGTGTTGGCCAGCCACGAGCTCAGCATGCACAGGCTCCCCTTTTGCTGCAATTACCTTTTGCTGTTGTTAATAGGTGGGAAAGTTACCCTTAAATATTCCTTAAATTATCCCGACATCCTTAAATATTCATATTTAAAAAAAAAAAAAAATTAGTCAAGGAATAGGCAGGTTTTCTACTTGTGAAGCCAGTAGGCTTTTTGCCACTGCTTTCAGCGGGTGCTTTTCATCACCCCTCCCTGGAAGCGACGGGCCCCGCTCACTGCCGCGGTGGGTAATTCCCCACCATGCAAAGGAAGCGGCGCAGGTAAGGAAGAAAAACGCACCCACTGACGGCAGCGGGAGGCAGGAGCCCTCCCCCAGCAGCAGCGAAGCCTTTGGGGGTCTCTGCTTCCCCTTCTCTCCGCTGTGCCGTGGCACTGCTGGGAGGCGACGGGGCACATCCCCTGTCCTGGTTTGAGGTAAAACGGAACCACTTGTGGTCAGTAACTTGGCTTCTTAGCTGGGCCTCTCTAACAACTCAAATTAACAGCACATTGTGCAGACAATGTTCACTCTCTCAGGGTGATCAGACCTCTGTTTAGAGCTGATGCCCAGGCATGGCATGCAGAGAGGCTCCTGCTTCTACTTACTGCTGTAACACCCAAGGCCAACCAACTTTGTTGTTTGCCCCGTTGGAGGGTCGGAAGCGGAAAAGCATAGTGGGGTCCCACCTGCAGGGAGGAGCGGACAGGACAGGTGACCCAAAACTGACCAACGAGGGTATTCCATCCCATCTGCCTCATGCTCAGTATAAAGGCTGAGGGATCAAAGGGTCAGCTCTCTCTCTTCCTGCAATGGCCGACGTCTGAGGAGGACTCAGTTCGTCTGCCTGCGATCCCGATCCTGAATGCAGATCCGGAATCCAGTTCCCGTCCGTCACTGGGTCCAGCCTGGGACTGCCCCAGTGCCAGCCGGTGTCGTGATTGTCCTCTCGGGAGCTCGAAACGGTTTTGTCTAGATTTCAATATTTCTTTTTTTATTTTATTCTTAATATTTCAGTAAAGTAGTTTAGTTCCTTCTAAACTCGCAAGTCTCTTTTTCCTCCTCTGCCCCTCTCTTCAAAGAGGGGTAGAGAGGAGCACCTGTTGCTCCCATCTGGGGTCCCCCAGGTCCCCAGCAGCCGATTTGGCCTAAATCACGACATCCCCGCAGCAGGCACCGTGCCCACAGGTTTTCCAGGCAAACGCTGCTGACGCAGATCACCAACCCGCTGCCAGGACCTGCAAGTGGATTTTAAAGCAAATGCTCGGAAGACTCCAAAGTTTACTTTTCCATGATCTTCCACTGCCGCGGCTCAGCTGCAGCCGCGCTGGCTCTCCAAAACTATCATTTACTTTTTAACCTCTGGTCTCTCTTATTTTTGCACCAGGAGCCTGTTGCTGTCTCTTGGTGTGAGGGTCCCTCAGGGAGCTCATCCGCTCTCCTCCCGAAAAGGATTGCTGATTTCTGACTGATGGTTGTTGCCGCAGTTACCCTCCCTTGCACAAAGGCAGGGGAGTCACTGGTTGAAGGACAGCGGGAAAGGAAATTAAGGCAAGAGAAACAACACAAAAGGTCCTTCTGACGGCAGAAAACAAACTGCAGAGGGCTGGAAACTCACACTTAAAGGAATTAAGCCATGGCACGTGTTGCACAGGAGGTGTGCAGTGTGTGTGTGCGCACCCAGGATGAGCACAGCACCCGCTCTTCACCGGCACGCACGAGGAGCGATGCTGCCGTGCGCCGAGGACGGCTCTCCAGCAGCAGTTCCTTGCAGAGCACGGGCAGACACGCGTTACACAGCACGGCTCCCAGCACCGAAACACGGATTCAGACAGTGAATTTTCTCACTCCTTTTTCCCCCCTCTTTTGCCTTCAAACAGGTTAGCGTCAAACAGAAGGGAAAATGAAAAACCAGACAGAAACACACGCACAAACCGGCAGCAAAGCAGAGAGTGAAAAACTAGATGGAACAAAAGGAAAACCTAATTAAAACCTACCACCCTGTCGTTTCTGCTGTCACATTAAGGTAGAGATGAACCAAAGCTCCCTGGGTTAGATGTCCAGGATTTTACGTTCCCGGAGGACGGTCCCCAGGAAGCGACTGGGAATGGTGCCGCAGGGTGAGGGCAGCTCAGCCTTCCCCAGCGCATCCCGGGGCTGCGGGAAGGAAACAGCCTTCGCCAGCCGGGACCGGCTCCTCGGCAAAAGCACCTTTGCTTTTACCTCTTTGTGCAGCATAGACTTGTTTGGCTTCGCACTGCAAAACGACTGACTTTTTTTAGACACCAGTCCCCCCCAAACCTCCCTCTGCCTCCTGCTGTGCTAACGCCAGGGCCATCCCCTCGTCTCCTGCACTCCTCTACATCTCTTCTTGTTCTTTATGCAATGCCAACGTCTCTCTGGTGACTTTCCCTCCTTCAGGCTACGGACCTTCTTTTTAGGGCATCTCCAAGCCCTCGCTAAACAGCGGAGAAACGTTCAGCAAGTCCTTCTGCTTCGTTTCCAGAGGGGCTGGCAGAGGCTTACCTGGTCCAGCTCACCTCCTGGTCCTGGGGAGCCAGCTCAGCTCCCTCCTCCTCCTCACTCTCTTCTTGTCCTCACTGTCCTTTGTCCCGCTCTGCCCAGTGCGCTGTGCTGTCCCACAGCTGAGAGAGGAGGTCTCCGGTCCCACAGCTCCAACCTGCGTGGAGAAGGTCTCTCTCTTCCCTGCGTCTCCCAGGGATCACAGACTAACCCGGCGCCGCTCACCCCGGGCAAGCAGCTCGCACCCCCCCACCCTGGCGCTGCCTCTCGTTCCCCCAAGCTGCAAGCACCAACTTGCAAAATCTCCCTTGTGCATGTGACTTTTCCCCTAGGCTGGTTTCGGAAACGTGGTTTTAACCCTCTAGAGCTCCTCAAAAGTGCTTCCCCACCAGGCACAGCCGTGGGAGGAGATCCCACCGCTCGAGTTATCCTCACCTTTTGCCAGGGAGAGGTCCAGGGCTGGAGCCTAAAGGTTGCGAAGAGCTGAAGAGCAGGACAGACAGAAGGCCAGAAGGCTCTCCTCCTCCTCCCTCCTGGATCAGCCGGGCAGCACTCACGAAGTACAAACCCCAAAGTTGCGTCAGATTAGTTGCCGTGAATGTCTCAGTGACAGTCG